AAAAACTTGAAATGCATATGATTATTCATTTTAATAATGAATAAAATTTTAAAAATAAATTAAGRTTYTSAGAAAATTCCCTTAATTTTTTTAATTAAGTATTTCAATAATTAATTATTATAAGTTTTACTGTAAATTTTAAATAAATAAAAATGTTTGCATATTTTTCACATATTTTCATGATTTTGACTGCATATTTTTTACATATTTTCATGATTTTAACAGCATATTTTTTGCATATTTTCATGATCTTAGCTGCATATTATATTGCATAATTCGATACTTATAAGTTTATAAAAATCCGCGCTCTATTTATAACTATTAGGAACACGGAGAGTATTCGGCCGGCCGAATGGGAATGCGCGCGGCGCGGAGATGAGTCGAATGTATGATAACATTATGGTGTTAAATAATTCGCAATTTTTCTCGCAACTAAAAAAAATATTAAAAATCAGGAAATTAATGAAAATAAAATTTTGAAACGTTAATATTTTCAGAAAAATAAACACTACAAAATGGCCATCTCTTGAAAATGATTAAATATAAAAATATAATTTTTAACTTTTTTACCGAAACATTAAAGAAATTAAAATATGAAACAATTGTAGTTCTTATCCCTGTGAGTTTTATTACCAAAACCAGAATTTCGATATCACCATTATTTTGAGAGATATCGCAATGGGTAAATCCTCTCGGGACCATGTATGTGTATACTTCTTAATTTTTCCATTTTTTAAAACATATTTGATAAATAATTAAATTTAGCAATAAAAAAATAAATACATTATAAATAATGAAACTTTATCTTAAGAGTTTTTAGTATGACGTATTATTGTATATTATAAATTCCGAAAATAAGATTGAAGAAAAAAGGGGTGATACAGAGTGGGTATTCTTGAGAATATCCATTAACCCTATATTATATAATGTGTTCACGAACTCTATAGACTATAATTATAGGTATCTGCGTAATATGGTGAGACGTTTTTCAGCAAAAATGTTTTCTTATATTGATCCGAGATACTAATTATGTTATAGGATAGAAATATCCTCCATCCTCAATTCAATTTTAATTGACCTATATAATGCGCAAACCGTATATTATGATGTGCCTGTACAGGCGTTAGGTATCAACTATACGTGACAGCATATAAATTACAGTCATTACGATGAATTTATGAACTTACCCAAATTATGTAAATTGATATGAATATTTTTAATAAGGCCATTTTCCGAGGAAAATTGTAAAACCTTTACTAGACACATTTTTCATTTTTTTTTTTTACATTTTATTATTTTAAATAATATTTATATATATATATATTTTTTTTTATACATAAATTGTATATGTTTTATATATTGTATAAAACCATAATTCATTATTTACAGTAATACGCTGTATTTTAGTTTTTAGTAAAATCGATCGGTTATGAAGTGCATATTTATTAGTTGGGTGGTTCACCATTTAATAAAAG